GAAATTCGGGTTTTAAAAAATCTTTTTCTTTAAGAATGTTGAAATATTGCCCCCAACTCTCTCTGGCTTTGGAGATTCTCCCGAGAGATCCACTGTTAGTCTGATGGGCTTCCCTTTGTGGGTAACCTGACCTTTCTCTCTGGCTGCCCTTAACATTTTTTCGTTCATTCCCACTTTGGTGAATCTGACAATTATGTGTCTTCGAGTTGCTCTTCTCAAGGAGTATCTTTGTAGCATTCTCTGTATTTCCTGAATTTGAATGTTGGCCTGCCTTGCTAGGTTGGGGAAGTTCTCCTGGATAATATCCTGCAGATATTTTCCAACTTGGTTCCATTCTCCCCCTCACTTTCAGATACAGAAATCAGACGTAGATTTTGCCTTTTCCCATAGTCACATATTTCTTGGAGGCTTTGTTCATTTCTTTTTACTCTTTTTTCTCTAAACTTCTCGCTTCATTTCATTCATTTGATCCTCTAGCACAGATACCCTTTCTTCCAGTTGATCACGTTGGTTACTATAGTTCTCATGTCATGATTTTCAGCTTTCTCAGGTCATTTAAGGACTTCTCTACGTTGGTTATTCTAGTTAGCCATTCATCAAATCTTTTTCAAGGTTTTTAGCTTCTTTGCTGTGGGTTCGAACTTCCTCCTTTAGCTCAGAGAAGCTTGATCGTCTGAAGCCTTCTTCTCTCAACTCGTCAAAGTCATTCTCCATCCAGCTTTGTTCCATTGCTCGCGATGAGCTGCGTTCCTTTGGAGGGGCAGAGGCGCTCTGATTTTTAGAATTTTCAGCTTTTCTGCACTGTTTTGGTCTTTGATGATGGTGACATACAGATGGGGTTTTGGTGTGGATGTCCTTTCTGTTTGTTAGTTTTCCTTCTAACAGTTAGGACCTTCAGCTGCAGGTCTGTTGGAGTTTGCTCAAGGTCCACTCCAGACCCTGTTTGCCTGGGTATCAGTAGCAGAGGCTGCAGAAGAGTGAATAATGCTGAACAGCAAGTGTTGCTGCCTAATTGTTCCTCTGGAAGCTTCATCTCAGAGGGGTACCTGGCCCTGTGAAATATGAGGTGTCAGTCTGCCCCTAGTGGGGGCTGTCTCCCAGTTAGGCTACTCAGGGGTCAGGGACTCACTTGAGCAGGCAGTCTGTCCGTTCTCAGATCTCAAACTCCATCCTGGGAGAACCACTACTCTCTTCAAAGCTGTCAGGCAGGGACATTTAAATCTGCAGAGGTTTTTGCTACCTTTTGTTTGACTGTGCCCTGTCCCCAGAGGTGGAGTCTACAGAGAGGCAGGCAGGCCTCCTTGAGCTGTAGTGGGCTCCATCCA